CCGCCCGCTGTGAGGCGGACCCTCCGTTTGATACGCACAGATTATAAGTGCATTTTATGTAGGAGAGACGGCAGAGGAAGGATTATGTTAAGTCTATTAATTACAAGAGGCTTTCTTATCTCAGGTGTGAAATCGTGAGGGGGGACTTGGTATCTTAGAATTGTAGGGGAAAATGGTTTTTCTGTTTTTTAGGGTTTTTTTTTAGAATTTTGTTTATTTAATCTTTTTATTGATTTCAGAGAGGGAGGGAGAGGGAGAGAGATGGAAACATCAGTGATGAGAGAGAATCATTGATGGGCTGCCTCCTGCACGCCCCACACTGGGGATCGAGCCCACAACCCGGGCACGTGCCCTGACCAGGAATTGAAACATAAGCTCCTAATTCATAGGTTGATGCTGAACCACTGAGCCACGCCGGCCGGGCGGTGGTTTCTTAATTACAGCTGACATTCAGTGCTGTTTTTGTTAGTTTCGTGTGTACAGCATTGTGGTCAGACAGTTCTATAATTTGCAAAGCGACCCTCCGGTGCCTGGTGCCCCACTGTCACAGTCACTGTGGTCTCGTCAGCCCTGCTCCCGGCTGCGCGCATGCTCCTCCTCCACGCGACGGCGGCCCCGGAGTCTCCACCTCAGGCTCTCGGGCATAAAGCCCGCCTCTTAGTGTGGACACTTGTCTGGTTGGATCTGACAGCTTCGCAAGCAAGCGTGGGCCCGGGTTCTAAAATGGGTCGCCTTGGCGGGACGCTGGGGTACCGTCAGCACGTGACTGTGTGTTTTCAGTGCAATTTTGAAACTGACAGTTTTAAAACATCCAGGCTTTTGTTCATGCTCTAGTCACCCAGTGGGCTGTCTTGCTTGAATGTGCACTAATTGAACCGCTGGGAGGAATGTGAGGTTCCATCCCTCCGGCAGGAAGATGTTGACGATGCAAAAAAAAAAGCAAAATTTAAGACAAAGGTTCCTTGTGCATCAAATGTGATGACAAGAATAGGTGAGCGTTGGCTCTGTAACGGTGGTAAATGAACAACAACGACAGGGGAGATGAGGTTGAGCACCATCGGTCACTAAGTCCACAGGTTTGCAGAACCTCAGGTGCTCATCCGCTGGCCTCCTGCCTCCTAAGGAAGTCAGATAACTGACCAGGAAGAGGGTGTGGCCGGCATCACACAGTCCCGGATGGCTTCCCAGCCTCAGGCTACACCCAGATTCCTTGATTCGTGTGTTAACAGATTCTTAGGTTCTGGTGTTACTATTTCTCTTGCCTTTTAGTCCACTTTGGAAAAATAAATTTCTTCCTGTGACTAGCTCTTTGGACCCTGTAGCATGTGAGAGCTGGAGGCGAGATGTGCGTTTCCTCGTAAGCATGGCCACAGGTGCACCCAGCGACCGCTGCCCCGTCCCCTCCTGCGGGGGCGGGACACTGCGAGCCCCAAACACTGACACGGTGGCCACGCAGCCTTCCTCCCCAGCCATCACAGACATCTTCTTAACAGGGACTTATGTCTAAAGACAGGCTATCCAAAATCTTACCTGGGGTCCTCAGACAGCGGACAATCCTGGCGGGTGGGTGTGGCTGCAGAGAGGGGAGCCCACTCTCATCACCTGTGTGTCCGTCCTGTGTGTTCATATGTGCATATGGGCCTATTTCTGTGTCCGTGTCTACATATGGAATTAACCACACAGCCCACCGTCTGCACTTTCTGTCAGGAAGGAAGACTGAAAGATTGGACTCTCCAAATTCCCTCTCTCTGGTGCTGGGTGCTCAGGCTTGAGCAGGAGTTGGTCACGTGGAAGGGAGCACACGCCCACACACAGTTTTGAAGCCTCGTGAGAATGGAAAGCTGCCCGGGCTGGCCTCGTTGTCTGCACCACAGGCCCGCCGAGGTCGCCATCCGTAGGCACCAGAAGATCGGTGTGACCAAGCGCACCCTCGGGGTGTTGGCCCACACCCAATGGAGGCTGTGTGATTCTCTGTGCAGATTAGTAAACAGCACCCACATCCCAGGCTCCGGAAGGCGGCTGGAGACTCTGGCCACCCCCACCAGCAAGGTGCTCCCTTCCCGGGAATAGCAGGCAGCTCACGCCAGGGCGCCAGGCAGGTACTGCGAGGTGTCACTGAGTACCTCTGGAGCCCAGAGGGGCATATTTGCACCTTAGAGGGAAGCTGCTCGGCTCAGAGGTCAGTGGCTTCACAGGCGAGGGCTTGGCTCTGACACCTCTCCCTTCTCTCCGGCACGTGCGCTCCCTCACGCTGCTCGCTGTAAACTGGACAAACCCTTACTTTGCCAGCTCATTAGCGGTGGCCGGTGTCATTTTTGTGGCGTTGCAGCTAGTAATATGAGCCCAGTTGCATAGTCACAAAAGTGATCATTGGAAACTGTGACTCTACTGCAGGGCAGTGCGGGGACCCTTTCTGAGCCTCTAACGACCTCTGACCTTGCTTGCTGTTCCTTGCCGCTCAGGGACCGAGGGTTGGTTTGTATCACTAACCCTTCCTCCGAGAAGCCCTCCTGTGTCTCCATGTGCGGCCTCGCTCCCTGACACTTGGTTCTGATGGCGTAAAAGGAGGCGGCCTCACGTGGCTCGTCTTGGCAGATACTCTGCCTTGTCTTGGGTCGACCAGATGAACGCTTCTGTTGACTGCGCGATGTTGTTGCTCTTCTGTTGTGGTGTTTTACTTCATAATAAACCAAGCACCTGATTCTTTGTCAATAAAATTCCACAGCGTAGCAGCACCTTGTACTTGCACTGGCGTCTCCTGGCCCTTTGTCGATAGGCTTAGCACGGGCGGCTGGAGGGATGTTACAATTACAATGAGACCTTCCGAGGTGCTGCTGAGCGGGCAGCCAGCACGCGTTGGCGGAAACACCTCAAGTGTATCACAAAGCGAAGACGGGAGAGCACGTTGAGCCCCGGGAGCCAGGGAGGTTTTCTGGCTACGTTTTGCCAATGTGCTGACCAGCCGTAAAGGGGCGCTGTGCAGCGACACCCCACACCCACGTTTTCTGAACCCCCAGTTTAAGGAAGGACATCTGGTTTATTTATTTCTTTTTTCAGTGTCCATGTTTTGTGCTTGGGCCCATCAGAAAAAATGACCAAAGCCTGTGACTGACTAGTGTGTGACCGTGGAAATGTTGAGTGTAGTCCTTACAAATGGGCCTGGTCTATGGAGCGAAGGAGGGTGTACAGCTGAGCCAGCAGCTGAGAAGGGAAAGGGAAACAGCCAGAGACAGAGAAATGTCCAGTAAAACCTTCTGTTTGAACATTAAAGACCTGTAGAAATAGTGCCACCTAATTGTGCCCAACCACTGAGCTTGCTTGATTCTGCACACGCACACAGGCACAGTGCATGCACATACATGTACAAATACAACACATGTACCAACACGCACATGCACAAATGCACATGAGAATGGTGGACAAACATGCACACATGAATGGATACATGTGTGTGTGCATGTGCACAGGCCTGCACATGTGTGTGCACATGCATACACATGTGTGTGCAAGCACAGACTTGTGTGTGCACAATCATGTGTGTCGCGCAGACGTGTGTGCGCCCATTTGCAAACATGCACACGCCTGGGTGGACAAACGTGCTTGTATACGGGCACACACCTGCACAAACACACGTACTCACCCTTGGGGTACAAGGTCTGGCATCGGTTTGCTAGCGGTGATGCTCACGTTGCCTTTGCATCTAGAGTAAAAAATGGGAGGTTCAGGAGAAGTGAGTGGATCTCCTTTCCACCTGCTTTACTCTCAAGGGGCCAAGACCCTAAGGCAGTGATGGCGAAACTTTTGAGCTCGGCGTGTCAGCATTTTGAAAAACCCTAACTTAACTCTGGTGCCGTGTCACATATAGAAATTTTTTGATATTTGCAACCATAGGAAAAAAACTTATATTTTTGATATTTATTTTATATATTTAAATGTCATTTAACAAAGAAAAATCAACCAAAAAAATGAGTTCGCGTGTCATAGGTTCGCCATCACTGCCCTAAGGCATCTGGCTCCCGTGCGCTGCGGGTTTTAATGCCTTCACCTTGACTTCCCCACCACTCCCGAGGTAACATTGCAACGTACACCCAGAGCAAGGAGGTTCCGGCAGAAATGGAGATGTGGCCCTGGGGACACTGGGCAGCTTGTTGACCTGCGTTCCTGAGGCTCCTCATTGTTAGGCCACCTTTGGAGGGCCTGCAGCTTTAAACAGCGTGTTCAGAGGCAGCAGCCAAGTCCCAAACTGCCCAGAGTGGGTGGGTGCATGGCCTGTGCAGGGCGCATCTTGTGCGTTCAGGGCTGTCAGCCTCCCTGAGAAGTACCCCGTCTGTTCACTCCCTAAAGGAAGCAGGAAAACACAGCACGATGCTCAGGCTGCACAAGGTTAACCAAGGTTTTGTCATGAACCGGTCACCCGCCGTCCCCCGATCCTGTCCTCTCAGCTTGTTGGGTTTGTACCAGAGCAGCCAGTTGATTAAAACTTTTATTGATTTTTAGAGAGAGAGGAAAAGAGAGGGGGAGAGAGAGAGATCAATGTGTTGTGAAAGAGAACCATCAATTGGCTGCCTCCTGTACATCCCCTACGTCCCCTAGTTGGGATCAAACCCACAACCCAGGCATGTGCCCTGACCGGGAATCGAGCTGGCAATCTTCCGGTGCAGGGACGACGCCCACTCAACGGAGCCACTGTTTCTCCCTGAGCCAGCAAGCAAAGAAGCGTGACACTTTCCCGTTTCAGGACGAGGAACAAGACTGGCCGGTTATTCTTTTCCACCTTTGCCTCACGTCCCCTGCGGTACAAGTTCCAGACACACCCTCACCGTTCCTTCCAGGACCCAGACCCGCCTCTTTTCTCTTTTTCTTCATTCAGAGCCATCCACTGAGCAGTTTCATGCCCTTTCTAAACAGGCTGGCTTGTCTCACTGGCTTAAACAATTTTGGAGTTTGCACAGTGAATTTCAGATGAGCCTCTGTCTTGATGTAGTTATAAAATCTCAATCTATGGTTATTGTTGATTTTCATAAATTCTGACCTAAAATCTGCACAATGAAGTTGTTTCCAAACATCCCCAAATTTATTGAAATGGGAAGCATGGAGGGTTCTCTCTTTTCCGCGTCCAGCGCGGCTAGAGAGCGGTCCGGTTCCTGAGTAGGGGCGGCTGGAGATTGAGAAAATGAAAGAAAGAGACAGACACAGAGATGGAAGGAAAAAGCTGGGGCCGGGTGGGACTGCTGCCCTCTTCTGATGGAGAGACAGGGACCCAGCACCCAGCGTGTTTATTTTATACCCCAAATACCAGGAAGTTTCACCAAAGGTCAAGACAAAGGAGATTATGTGCATTCTTAGATGGGCCCGAGTCCTATTCATTCCTGGTGCTTGGCTGGATTTACATAATAAAACCCACTCCCACGCACCTGGGCAGAAATGAAGGTCAAGCTAAGAACACTTCTGCCTTTTTGGCAAGATGCGTATCCAAGATGCCTACCGCCCTGGATTCAGCTGACAGTTTATTAAAGAAATGCCCATGTGCCGTCCCAGGGGCTCTCTACAGGGAAGGCTTGTCTTGAATGCAGTTGCCGTTTCTCCATCATTAGACACCCTTTCAGAGCCACATTTCCAAAGGGTCCCTGTAAGGCGCTGTCGGAGACAGAATAATAGTGTTCCATTCCGACATGATGTCTAGATTGTAAGGGATTTTGAGCAGATATTACAGAACTCACACATTCAGGGAGGAGTCTGGGCACCCATCACAGTTTTTAAAAAGGTGCGATTAACTGTAGGAACGAGAGAAAGGGGCCCGGTGGCGGCGCTGCTGCCCCTCGACCTGAGGCCTTGAGTTCATGCGTGTAAAGGGGAAAGGAACAAGGGAACGTGCAAGAACTGTTTGACGGTTTCTAAAGCTGTTTATCACTGAATATTGAAAAGAAAAAGAAACCTTTGAAAATGTGTGTGTGATTTCGATTTCTTCAAGCTGCCGCAGACGGGCGTCCCAGCTGCGGTGTGTTTGCTTTGGTTTAGTGGTGGTTTGGCTAACGCGGCGGAGACGTCGCAGTGCGTAACTGTGATTCCTGTCTCTTTTTATTTCAGAAAAGTAAACAAGTGCTACAAAGGCCGCTCTTGTCCAATAATTGTTCACTGCAGGCAAGTACAACCTTTCTCGTGGGTTACCCAGCGTCTGCTACTCCCCAACCAACTGCAAAGACAGGGTCGAGCTTTCTGGTGGCTCCACAGTCACGTCCACCTGGTGCAGGTCACGAGACCAGAGAGAGATGAGCCGCCCTCAGCTCCGTGCAGCCGTGCCGTGGGGGCCAATACCGTGTGCGCACACGTGGCGAGCCACTGAGCTGGGCACTAGTCTGTCGCCACCGGGTTTTCTTAACCCCCGTGGAGCCACCACATGGCATCCGGGGGCGGCGTTTCTGATCTGTCGCACTGTCTTGGCCGAGCTGGAACCTGGTGCCAACGTGAGGAGCACAGGGCGGTTGTGAGCAGGACAGAACCTGTGATGGCACAGGAGTGTCCACTGCGGCTCCCGGCGTGAGCCCGGCCTTTAGGTGGAAATTCTAGGCTCGGGCCCTTCTGCAGGCCATGCCCACTGGTGAGAGCTGGGAGGATGCAGCCACCTGCCTCGGCGGGAGCCACACCACTTCCTGCAATGACCTTGGAGGCGCCTTTCCGCCAGGAGACGCGTCTCAGCATCAAACACCACGCCTGTCAAGACCTGTGTGTGCATGTGTGTGTGTGTGCATGATGCGTGATGCATGTGTCTATTTCTGTGCATGCCTGTGTCTGTGTGTGTGTGTCTGTGTGTCTTGCATATGTATGTCTGTGTGTGTCTGTGTGTATCTGTGTGTCTGTGTGTATCTGTGTCTGTGTGTGTCTATGAGTGTGTGTGTCTGTGAGTGTCTGTGTGTGTCTGTGTGTCTGTGAGTGTCTGTGTGTGTCTGTGAGTATCTGTGTCTGTGAGTGTCTGTGCATGTCTGTGTGTCTGTGAGTGTTGTGTCTATGTGTGTCTATGTGTGTCTGTGAGTGTCTGTGTGTGTCTGTGTGTCTGTGTGTGTCTATGTGTGTCTGTGAGTGTCTGTGTCTGTGTGTGTCTATGTGTGTCTGCAAGTGTCTGTTTGTGTCTGTGAGTGTCTGTGTGTGTCTGTGTATGTCTGTGAGTCTCTGTGTGTCTATGTGTCTGTGTGTGTGTGTATGTCTGTGTGTGTCTGTGTGTGAGTCTGTGTGTGTGGGTCTGTGCATGTGTTTGTGTGTGTCTGTGTGAGCCTGTGTGTCTCTGTGTCTTTCTGTCTGTGTCTGGGTCTCTGTTGGTCTGGGAGGAGAGGAAGAGAGCAGAGACAATCTGGTTTCCTCAAAGCCAAGAAGGGACCACTTTACCCACGTGGCCCGAGCCAGGCAGCGTTGGTTGGAGGGTTGGTGGTTGATCTAACACACTCATGTGAAGTTTGTGTAGAAGAGAAGTGAGCAGACCCGGCAGGAAGGTCCCTGGAGGGAGGCCGGGGGGAGTGCAGGGGGAAGAGTCACCTTCCCAGCCGCAGCTTTTTCAACCATTTGTTTGAGGAAACACGTCAAAGCCAAACGCAGTGGGCCTTGCTTCCGGCTCACGGTGACTCCTGGGATCCTGCCATTCTAACCCGAGACCAAGAACGTGATTTCTCCTTTAGTCATGGAACTCCTCAGGTCTTTTCCTTAAAGTCGCCTTGGTTTTGCCAGGAGTATCCATGTAAATCCTGCGTTTGAAGCCGCTCAGGGTGGCACATGCCTGGGACAGGAGTGGTCCCGCGTGGCCTGAGAGGAGAGGGTGGGGTCTGGCATCCCATGTTCCTCCGTGTGCTGTTGTGAGGCACCATTCAAACATGTTCCCGCCTGGTCCGGGTGTAAATTGTCTGATAGTTGCTGGGGGTGAGGAGGGGGTGAGCGGAAATGTGAGGAGGACGAGGGGCTGTCCCCCTCTGCCAGGAGCCCCGGTGTCATGTGCGGTGGGGCCACCACCCCACCTGATGCCAGGACCGGCATCTGCCTCGAGGCTGTGTCAGAGCTCAGGGCATTCGCCCTGCACACAAATGCATTGCCTGACCCTTTATTGGTTCTTCTAGACAAAATTTACCCCCTCTTTGAGGAACGAATCTACACAGGCACATTGGCTAATCCACGTCGCTTCCTGCTTCCTTCCCCCTCTCCCCCTCTAAAGAAAAACACTGATAAAATTAAATATTTACCGAAATTTCTCCTTTCACTGGATGAAACTTGAGGAATGGTGTGCTTATTAGAGACTTGTTAGTGAGGCCACACTGAGGGCCTCAGAGTGACAGAAGGTCTCGTGAGCGGAGCTTATGCCACTGCTTGCTTACTTTTCTGTGTGGGCAGTAGTTTTCCCACCCCTGGCCTTGGCTCTTTACTGAAAGAATGAAGAATACTTACCCCAACTAGAATTTAGGTTAACCAAAGCAATTTGGGGTTTTGCTGGAATAACTTGGTTTTGTTGGCTTTTCGTTCTTCCTTTTCTTTCTTTTCTTTCTTTCTTTTCTTTCCTTTCCTTTACCTTTTCCTTTTCCTCCCTCCCTCCCTTCCTTCCTTTTCTCCTCCTCCTCCTCCCCCTCCTTCTCTTCTTCTTCATTCTCCTCCTCCCCTCTCCTCTCCCTCCTCTTCCTCCTCCTCCTCCTCCTTCTGCTCTTTGTCCTCCCCCTCCCACCCTGTGATTCCTCCTCCCCCATTTCCCCTCAGAGCCCTCCCCTCCCCCCCAAGCACAGGAGGAAGTTGCTGATGTTGGCTTGGCTGGTGTGGGGGGGACCAGGACAGGTGGCGTTCTCACCTCTCTCCTTCTGTCAACAGCGATGGCGCGGGCAGGAGCGGCACCTACATCCTGATCGACATGGTTCTCAACAAGATGGCCAAAGGTAAGGCTCCGCTTAGCGGGGACTTGGAGCGGGATGCGTTGCTATGGCAACCTGGTGCTGCACTCCCAGAGGCCTGGGAAGCTGAGCCGTGTTGTCCCTTTTCTGAGTTGTGTGAAGCTGTTTGCAGCGAGCGCCGTGATTCCTGAGCTCCTCCTTTGTCTCCGGTGTCCGTGGGGTGGGCACTGGGGTTGGCGCACAGGGGGCGCTGGGGAGCATTGCAGAGCAGGCACAGGCGGCCTCGGTCCCCTAGAGCTGCAGCGGCTCAGAGCGGCCTTCAGGTTCTGCCCAAACCATCCCTGTTATGAGCTGTATTTGCAGGAACATTCTAGAGTCACAGACCTTTGGTGGCGAGATCGTCACACTAAACCACTTATTTCCTGCAAAGCTCTGCACCCGCTTCCGTGCCAGGGGAGATGTGCGGGCATCTCCTGGACAAACGGGGTGTCTCCCTCGAAGCCAGCGCTCACCCTCACGGGGTCGGTGCTGACAGGGCCGCACCAGCGCAAACCAGGGGCCTGCGGGAGGGCTTGTCTCAATTCTCTGACCAGCGTTTCCCAGCCGTGCCTGGAGGGCACCGTCCTGTGGCCCCAGCAAGATCCCAGGCAGCTCGGGAAGGACCCTGAGATGGTGACACTATGGTCTCTTTTCCCCGTGGATAAACCGTTCTATCGCAACACGTGTGTGCACACACACTCATGCACACACACTCACACAATGCACTTACACACATGTGCACACATGCATGCACTCACACTCATGTACACGCGCATGCACGTGCACATGTGCACACATATGCACGCAGTCACACATCCATGCACTCACACGCGCATTCACACATATGCATGCATGTACACGTATGTCTGTCAAACCTCCCACCTCCCTGAACATCCCTGCATCCGTTGCCCAGATTCTGATTACAGAGATGAATGTCTACACGTGTTCACACAGGGGCCAGCAACTCTCAATTAGGCATTTTCCTTTCTCCATTTTTTTTCTGGTTAAAAAAGTAAATGGAACACATTTTTAGCCCAAGATAGAGGTGGGGAGATAGAATCATAGCCTATTGTTTTTAGTATGAGGACTGGCGAGCTTGAGTAAGTTGCCCAGCGCCCTGCCGCCGCTGGGGAGAACGGAAGTGGTTTTCACCAGCAAATGTTACTTCAACCCTGAGCGAGCTCTGGCTGGCAGCAAGCAAGCAAACACCTGGCACAGAACCTGCTCTCGCCTGCGTGTGGCAGCACTTTCATCCTAGAGTCTAGACCAGTGGTCGGCAAACTGCGGCTCGTGAGCCACATGTGGCTCTTTGGCCCCTTGAGTGTGGCTCTTCCACAAAATACCGACTTCTGCGCACAGGCCACGAAGTTTCAATCGCACTGTACGTGTGTGCCCGCACGTGGTATTTTGTGGAAGAGCCACACTCAAGGGGCCAAAGAACTGCATGTGGCTCGAGAGCCACAGTTTGCCGACCACTGGTCTAGACCATCACACAGCCCGGCCTTCAGGGGAGGGGCTTGCTCCTGCCGCCAATGCCACTGCGTCTCATCAGACGCGTCTTGTCCTGGGAACCTGCAGCCTAGGACTCAGCTCTCGATGGAGGCGCCGTTCCTTCCCGGTCGTCGCCCCTCCCCCTCCGCCTCGTGCCTGGGGTCTGCCTTCTCTTAACCAGCTACTTCGGAAGAACAGTCACTGGCGTGAGGAGATGCCGCTGTGTTTGTGAGATGGGGACACAGACCCGCGGGGCACACGGCTGCGTCACACGGAGCCTGGCTGGTCCGAGGGAAGTTGCCGACCGTGGGACTCGGCTGGCGAGGTCTCAGTATTTGTGGGGAGAGCCTGGGTTTGAGGGGCACAGGTCTGCTGCACAGAGAAGCCCGGGGTAGGGCTGGCCTTGTCTTCACTGCCGCGGAACCATTGGCTCCGGCTGGCAAGGTCAGATCCGCCCAAGTGTGGGCGGCTCCCACAATGGGCCCAGCTGGGCCGCTCCTGAGATCCCTCCCCCATCCTGTTCCTGACCTGCCCCTGCCTGGGCCTGTGGTGTCAAACCCCCTGACCAGGCAGCCGGGGCCTCGGGAGAGATCAAAGGGCAGGGCGGCCCGAGCCGAGGGCCTTTCCCAGGGCCACACTGCCTGGCCTCTGGGTTTTGTTCTGACGCAGGCCCTGCTGGCGCCTTTGTCTCCCTGAGACGCTAGAGGCCCGCAGACCCCGTTCACCAAGTGATCAAAGGCCCAAAGCCTGGACGCGAAACCTTTCTTCCCATGTCCTTTTCTGAAAGAAATGAATTGCACGAGGACCAAAGAATGCCTTTGCAGAGCTTCCCGCACCAGCCGACGTCAGGCCCTGGCTCGGCCTTCGCTGGGCTGGCGGCCTGGGGATTAAGGCTCCTTTGGGGGCATTTGGGAAATAAACTGGGAATCGCTGTCTCCTTTTTGAGCAGCTGGAAGCGAGGAATAGCTCAGGGTCGCACAGATTGCGGCAGGAGAATCCACACCAGCAGGGAGCCTGTGGCACCTTTATTTCGTGGCTGCGGACGCGTTTCTAACTCTGCATTAATGTCGGACCGGGACCCGTGTCAGGGAGCGTGTTCCTCTGTCCTGGAGACTCGCCCACGTGCAGCCATGCCTCTCAGCAGCGGCTGCCAGGCTGTGTCGCCGGGGCACCTCTGTACGCAGGGGTTTGCTTTGTTCTGTTTCAACAGGGCTGGTGTGCGTGTGTGCGTGCACGTGCGTGTGCGTGCGTGTGTGTGTGCGTGCGTGTGTGAGTGCATGTGCGTGCGTGCGGAGTGTGTGTGTGTGTGTGTGTGTGTGTGTGTGTGTGTGTGTGTGTGTGTGTTTTCAAATACTGGACAGTAGTGGAGCTTCCTAAAGATCTCGCCTGTGGGTCACTCAGGGGGCACTGCCCTCCGTTCACCCAGGGCCACCCCTCACCCCCACCCTCCAGCCGCTCTCTGGGGCTGCGCAGTGCTTGTCCGCTGGGCCGGGCTGATGTCATCCAGAGTCATGTCCTCAGCCACCCCGTGGCCTGGGACAGAATGCCCTTCCTTTTTTAAAAAAAATATATATTTTATTGATTTTTTACAGAGAGGAAGGGAGAGGGATAGAGAGTTAGAAACATCGATGAGAGAGAAACATCGATCAGCTGCCTCCTACACACTCCCCACTGGGGATGTGCCCGCAACCGAGGTACATGCCCTTGACCGGAATCGAACCTGGGACCCTTGAGTCCGCAGGCCGACACTCTATCCATTGAGCCACACCGGTTAGGGCTGCCCTTCCTTTTTAAGGCCAAATCGTACCTCACTGTGTGGATGGACCCCCCTGCCAGTGGACCCCGGGCAGCCTCCACCTCCTGGCTGCTGGGAACGAGGCCGTGCAAACATCTCTTTAGGTGTCTGCTTCTCCTGCGGTGTCTACCCAGGAGTGGAATTACTGCGTCGAGGAAAACCCTGTGTGTAACTGTTTGAGGAAGCCCCGTCCTGCCTCACCATTTTACGTTCCCACCCACCGTGCAGGAGGCCCCGGCTTCTCCCCTCCCCTCCCGCGTGCACTGCTCTGTTCTCCCCAGTCCCTCTCCTGGGGCGCGGGGCCGAGCTCGCTGTGCTCAGACTGTGCTTCCTGCGGGCGGGGCGCTGAGCGCTCCCCGAGTGCTTGTTGGCCATTTGGGTGTCTTCTGTGGAGAGACATCTGTTCACGTCCTTGGCTCATTTGTTGTGGTTGTTAATCCTCAACCAAGGATATGTTTCCATTGATTTTTAGAGAGAGTGAAAGGGAAGGAGGGAGAGAGGGGGAGAGAAAAAGAGAGAGAGAGAGAGAGAGAGAGAGAGAGAAAGAGGTGAGAGAGACACAGTGATTGGTTGCCTCTCACCTGCACCCCAACCGGGACCAGGGATCGAACCTGCCACCCAGGTCCGTGCCCTTGGCCGGGAAGGGAAGCCATGACCCTGGTGTTTGGGCCGACGCTCTGACCACTAAGGCAGCAGCCGGGCTAGATGTTAACTATTGTTCTGTGTTGTTAACCCTCACCTGAGGGTAGTCCTCCATTAATTTTTAGGGAGAGTGGAAGGGAGAAGGACAGACAGAAACATCCATGTGACAGAAACACATCAATTGGTTGCCTCCTGCACGAGCCCCAACCAGTATTGGGGCCGGGGAGGAGCCTGCAACCAAGGTATGTGCCCTTGACCGGAATAGAACCCAGGACCCTTCAGTCCGAAGGCCGACGCCCTATCCGCCGAGCCACATGTGGGCCAGGCATAGATGTTGACTTCAATAGCAGGTCAAGGCCGCAGATGGGCCAGGCTTTGGGAGCCTCGCCAGCAGAGAGGGTGGAGCTAGTGAGCCCGCCTGCAGGGCCCCGCCCGCTGCCCCTGCCCTGCGCCTGGACGTCTACACTGCGCTGCAGCCGGACATGCGGGCAACATGGACGAAGCTCAGTCCCTCACTCACAGGGGCCGCCGTCGGCCTCCGGGG